GGTCACCCCTCACTGCCCCCCTCTGCCAGCCTGGTTGCCCCTGACTGCCCACCCCTGCCAGCTTGGTTGCTCCTCACAGTCCCCCCCTGCTGGCCTGGTCGCCCCACGTAGCCTCCTGTTCAGTCGTTTGGTCATCCCTCACTAACACCCCTGCCGGCCTGGTCGCCCCACACAGCCTGCTGCTCAGTCATTTGGTCGCCCCTCACTAACCCCCCTGCCGGCCTGGTTGCTCCACACAGCCTGGTGTTCAGTCGTTTGGTCGTCCCGCACTAACCCCCCTGCTGGCCTGATCACCCCATGCAGCCTGCTGCTCAGTCGTTTGGTCGTCCTTCATTAACCCCCCTGCAAGCCTGGTCGCCCCATGCAGTCTGCTGCTCAGTCGTTTGGTTGTCCCTCACTAACCCCCCTGCTGGCCTGGTCGCGCCACACAGCCTGGTGTTCAGTCATTTGCTCGTCCCTCACTAACCCCTCTGCCAGCCTGGTCGCCCCACACAGCTTGTTCAGTTGTCCGTTCGGTTGTTTTGGATGTGATGGCCCCTGGCTCTTTATATATATAGATATAACCTATGCCATATACATTAGCATATATTAACATATATATGTATGTATATAAAATCAATATTTTGAATATGATTCAAAATTTCTATTTCTGTTTTACATCAACTGCATTTTTTTTTCTTTTTACCTTTTGATCAGAACATATCCTCCCCCACCCTTCCTCTATCTCCTCCTCCTAGAAGTTTGGTCTTTTCATAGAATATAGCTGACAAATAAGATAACAAGTGACACATCCCTTCATTGGGAGGTATTTATGTGTGAAAATGATGTAGAAGTACATCATTAATAGTTAATAATATTACTCTCAGATGATAGAATCCGTACCATTCATAGCTAATTTTATGTATTTCTCTAGCTGTGATATAATCAGATAAATAAATTCCTCAATAAATTTCCTTTTATTGGGATTCTATGTTTTTCTGTAGGTTGGGTACATGAACTTGGGGGTCGGACTGTCAGAATTTAAACCCTGGCTCTGCCCATTACTAGCTTGGTGACTCTGCTAAGTTACTTAATTGTGTTTCAGTTTCTCCATATGTAAAATGAGTATTATTTTTATAACTAGAGGCCCAGTGTACGAAATTTGTGCATGGGAGGGGGGTTGTCTCTCAGCCCGGCCTGCACCCTCTCCAATCTGGGACATTCCTCTCACAATCCGGGACTGCTGGCTCCTAACCGCTTGCCTGCCTGCCTGCCTGATCACCCCTAACCGCCTCTGCCTGCCAGCCTGATGGCCCCTGACTGCCCTCCCCTGTCGGCCTGATCGCCCCTAACTGCCCTCCCCTGCCAACCTGATCACCCCTAACTACCTCTGCCTTGGCCCCTGCCACCATGGCTTTGTCTGGAAGAATGTCCAGAA